TCCCTTGAAATCGTATTTTTCTTTGCATTCTCCTTCTCTTTATCCAACTTTCTGGTATTTTATAGACGCAAAGGCGTATCGGAGGGTGTCGAATCCTTTATATTTTTCGCTTGTTTTGCACAAGTTGGATCTGACATTTATCTCTCTTTACTGCGTCTTTCCTTTACCTATCAGTTTCAGTTTAAGTCTCCCTTTTCCTTTTGACTATTTTCCATGTCTTTTTCACCAATTACACCTTCATTCTCTTCAATTCATCAAGATTATCTGCTACATTGCAAACCCTGAAGCGTCCACCCTCTTGCGACACCTGGCAACAACCGTATAAGATGCACAATAAGTGAATTTACCGCCGCAGATCAACAATAGCATCCAATCCTTTTTGCCTTTTTACAGGTGATCTCGGATCCTCCTCCCACCACCCGCGCGCGACTCGCCCTCTCTGACGTCACTTCGAACGTATGATTCACGCTATCATCGTGTCTCTGCCGTATATAGCGAACAGCGTGAGAAGCAATTGTTATAAGTCAGATAATATCGAATAATCGAACATGATAGATCGCAAATATATGGTTATTTGCGGTTTGATTCAACATTTCTCGGATTAAATTTTCTGAAAAACAAATATCATTTTCGATTTCAACCGAGAAAAAATAATAAATAAAATCATAACACAAATCCCATGATTTGGCTATCGTTGTGAGATATCTCTGACCTCTCGAGAAGAAAAATTATATTTACTCGTGTTTGCTCTAGTCTCTAGTGCAGCGTTAAAATCATCTGTTTCTGTTTTTAATCTTCGCCCTCCCTTTTTCTTTGGAGTATTTGTCCACGTCCTCAAAAGGCTGCTTAGACAATTCAGTCGAGTTATAAAATAAACAGACTTCATTTACATAATGAAGATCACTACATTGTGCCGAGTTGAAATCTCCGAGAGCCCACGGCAATGTCTTGCACAACGGATGGAACTTCAAGCCTTACCTTTTAATAATTTACATAACGTTTTAACACCGAGAGTATACATTACATCTCGATAATGAGTAATCAATTAGCAGAAGGTCAAAGAGAAAATAAAAGACGCAATCCTCCTCGCGGTCGCGCTAATGAATTCAGGCGAGGATCGCGCGTGCCTCCGCTCTCACGCAGGCGCGGCCCCCTGGCTCGCCCTCCGCTGCCCTGAGCCCGGTCCGTGCCCCATTAGGGGAAGGCCCCCTCACCCCGAGTGCTGCCGCTGCTGCTGCCGGTGGCCCCCAAGGTCGCCGAGTCGCTTAAGGGCAGCACGGCGCTGACGAGGCGGAGACAGCCGCCCAGGAAGGCAAAGGCGCCCCTTCCTGGCGGTTCCTTCCCTTGCTTGGGACGCGGAAGGGGTCGTGGCCGCGCATTCATAATGGCAGTACAACAAAGACCGCTTGGTGGGAGGGTGTAGGACTGGGTAGGGGGAGGATTGGGGCTGGGGAAGGGGCAGGTTGTTTAAGTGTTTCTTTTTAAAATTTATATATTCGTCTAACTGTTGCAAACGGAAGCCAGCATTGTGAAATAATTTTGATCTTCGGGAAAGAAACCACAATGCATTACAATGTATCAAATGACTTCATGGAATTTAGCTAAATTCCTCCACTCTCTGTACGACAAAGGAATGTTACAGGAACTCACAATTCATTTACATTATTTTTCTTTATTCACACACATTCATATTATCCATCCACCTCTTAAAAATAATTCAAAAATCATAAAAGATCTTGCGACATAATTCACAGTTATTTCCATATTTCTCTTCAGTGACATGTTTATATGTCTTTAGAAATTATAATATTTACTTATTCGGCCTCATAACTGACACTAATGTTTTCCTACCGAACAGGTCGCAGAGTAACGCACTGCTCATCTATTATCATTTAATAACCGATGGACAGGAAGGCCATATTTCAGCCGTGTACAATACAGATTTCCTCTTCGTGGATAGAATATAATTGGCGGATAATCGTGCAATATATTAAGATGATGCTATTCATTAATTGCGGGATTGATTTATCTTATCTGTTTCACGGCGAATTTATCAGAGGGAAAGACACACAGACAAATCGTCGAAGTGTGACCCTCGTTGGCCTGAGACCGTGATGAAACACAGCTGCACCGGAGACCAGAGACCTAGATATAGCGACCGTTTCCCGGCGCCTTCGTCTCGGGCAGCCCCTTCGCTCGCTGGCCGCTCTTCCTCTGGCTCGTTCCGTGGCTCTCCCGGGTTTGCTGCGATGCCCTTTCTCTAATCTGAAGGGCTGATAACGATACCTGAAGATGAAATAGACAAAAAAGGAAGCAGAAAGAAGGAAATTGTCGTCGAGAGGTAATTTCAGCGAGGCCGAGGGACGCTCTCGCTCGTTCTCCGCGTGAAAGTTTTGTCTCTCTAAAAGTGACGTCACAGGTCGGGGCACGTGTGGAGGGTTCGTCGGGGCATCGGGTGAACCTGCCGTCAGTTATCTCCGTGCTCTCGCCGTGGCTGGCCGGACGTCTTGGGCCTGGTGAAGTCAGAGCCAGAGCCTGGGTTTCCTTCGTCAGTGAGGCTTCTGGCGACGCTGCTCTACTCGTTGCTCGCTCGCGTCTTGAGTACGGGGGGACGTCGGAGCTTTTCTGGCTGCATTGCAAGTGATTGTTTATTCAGCCTGGACGGATTGTTTTGTCAGTCACAGCAGTTGTTTATTTGTGAATAGAACTGAACACTGGCAATATTTTTTTCATTTCGAAGGAAGTAAAACAAAATCGGAATGTTTATCGTTATACGATGCATGACTGTCACCAGTGAAAACACAAATCATTCGTTATTCAGCTGAAAAAAGGAATATACATTGCCCAATTATAAACAAAACGAAAAAAAGAAAGGAAATCCAAGAACTACCAGCAAATAGAAATACAAATCAGAATAGTGTGAACCTGACGGTGACTTCAACGGGCACGATGCCATGATCCCGCCCGCCTCCTGAAGGTGCCCACCGACGGGTCGCACCATGAGCGAGCAAGACAGCGAGCGCCGAGGCAACTGTCCTGCCGACGACAACAACAACAGCGACAGCGGAAGCGCAAGCAGCAAAGGCAGCAAGATGGAGGAGAAGTACGGCCTCCGCCCCAGGACGATCATCAAGCGGCTGCAGCAGGAGCGGGTCCGGCAGGAGGTTCCCAAGAAACAGTCGAGGACCAAGTCGAGGCCGGCGCCGTTGTCGAAGTATCGAAGAAAAACGGCAAATGCCCGGGAACGTCACCGCATGAGGGAGATCAACAACGCCTTCGAATCCCTGCGCAAAGTTCTCCCGGAGGCCATGGAGTTCCAGACGAGCTCCTCGTCCATGACCAAGATCACGACCCTCCGTCTGGCTGTCAGCTACATCAGGGCGCTGTCGAACGTGCTCGAAGACGAGGCTGATACTGATCTCGGGGCCCTGGAGAACAGCCTGCAGAGCTCCCTGCAGGAGACCATACATCACACGCTGCAAAACACCCTTCACAAGTCCATGGATCCGGCCGGGGGCATGACGCACCTGCACTACCAGCAGTACGCCTACGGGCAGCAGTACGTTCCCCAGCTCTCCCAGGGAGCGGATTACTGCTCGCCCTCGAGCACCACGTCGGCCTCCAGCTCGCCCTCCACCGTCCGAGGATCCCTGAGCAGCACCAGCGACTTCGAGGAGCTGCTCTCCGACGACTCGGCTTTACTCGAAGACAACCTGGACGTGTTCCACGACATCCCGACGCTGCCCGAGGCCGACCCTTTCGACATTCTGCTCGGCGCGGAGAAAGGCGGCCTCGCCTTCACCGCGCACTTATGCAGCTAAGGCCTACATTCCCTCCGCCGGGCGGCTGAGCTGACAGGGATGGAGATTTTCTGCTCATTATCCGGATGACGAGGTGACGGCGGCATCATGTGCGTGACTGAGGGAGTAATCCGCCAAGAGTACAGCCACTTTCGCTGCATGACTTATAAGGACACGGGCTGGAAATGTGCTGACGAGCATTCAGCGGCGGCCCTCCTGAGCCGCCATGACCAGCGCTGAAATAGGTCACTGTGTTTCCCACGGGCAAGTCCTGTTTGGTCAATAGCTTCCTAATAAGGCCGGGCTTCGCACTGCAGGTGACAGTACAATGTTTTGCCAGGCCACTAAAACATTCTTAATTGTCATTTATTTTTGCAGTCGTAGCAACAAAGGGTAATAGAGCTCTCTAACACCAGACGCTGAAGGGCAGTCGACCCGTTCGACGCCTTCTGAAGTGACTGGAAGATAATGACAATTGTATATTACATTCAGCATATGAAAAATACAAGATGTAAGGACTTATTTCCTGAACAAAGATATACCCGGTGTGTGTGTGTTTTTTCTTGCAACTTTGCACGATCTTTCTAATCCTGAAGTAAGAAGGAGAAAGAGAGAGATAGAAACAAGTGATGGTGTCTGATTAGATAAAGGAAAGCGGTTGTACCTAGTCAGCTCACAATAGCCCGTGCGTTTGACGGAAGAGTTGAAATCATTTGGCAAATAATCAAGAACAATGATTCGAGAACGAGAGAAAACTTATTCTGAAAGGAACGATGCTAGTCTAGTGTAATAATGTGCCATAATGTATGAACAATGATAATTAAAAGAAGAAGAAAAAGATAATTTAGTGATAATCACTTGACAAACTTTATGGTCTGAAAATCATGTGATTCCTTGTGTACTTTCTATTTATTTAGTAATTAATTATGTAAGAGTTTAATGTACAAAAATATTGTGAATACATTCCTTTTATATTAGTAGTGTTTATAATAAAACAATTATAAATTTAGAAATATGTTTTGAAAACCTTATGATCTAATAATGGTTATTTCACACCCATTCTCTTTGACACTTAGAGTTTAATAAATTATCAAGACATTTCACTTTAAGAATGGTGATAATCATGATAACGATAAAGTAAATAGTGATAACAGCAGTGATGCTTAAAGTAGTGATGATAATAATGATGATGATAAAAGT